GACTCCAGCTCAAAAAAAAAAAAAAAATGCAGTTGAATTTCTCAATCTTTGTATGATTTTCAATTTCTGCCTTAAACAAACACACTTTCTTATTTCAAGATATTAAAGACATTCTTTTATTTTCTTTTTTATTTTCTTCTAAAACCTTTATGTTTTGCCTTTCTTATATAAGTGTTTCACTCACCTAGAATTGAATTTTTGTGTGTTGTGCAGACAGAGATGTAGTTAGGCCACATAAAAATGTATTTTTTATTTTATATTCGTTGTTTGTGTTAGAAGTCAAATGAGCATGATTCTCTAAGTATCCTGGTGCCATCAGTCACTAGACACTTCCCAAACATCTGTTTGCTCAGGTTGGCACTTTGACATGTTTCAGAAATATGTTTTTCAGAATGTTACAGAAAGCAAGTCATTCATTCCAAAGACTACTAATGCTTCTCACATGAAGAAGAAAAGATAGCTATTCCAGCCATGGTGATACTATTTTAAACTTGGCTGAGAAAATGGCTTTAAAAAATGAGATAATTCTTGGAAATATCATTTTTAAAGATGTTGCAAATTCAACTCCCACAAAGTTAAAAGAGAAGACGTTCATTCATCCTAAAAGTTCAGAGAAACTTGCCTTGAATGAGACATTTATTTTGATAAACCTAGCTTTTGACCTACACTATTCATTGTTAATTAAATGGAGATAGCACAGTTTTGATTCAAGTTGGTGTGTGTGTGTGTGTGTGTGTGTGTGTGTGTGTGTGTGTTTTAATGCAATGCAATGTGAAATTAAACTAATAAAACATAGGCATCTGTGTGTCATGTTATTGAGAACATATGCTATCTTTTAGTAATAAGTACTTCTAGAGGAGTTTTATTTTTTTATTTGAAAAAAAACACATTAGCCTGTAACTTCACAGTTTCTTATTTGTTATTAACCTTTTCTCTTTAATTCACACTATTCATTCATTCCTCGAGTATTTCTTGAGATCCTGTATTTTGCAAAGTAACCTGTGCTCAACTATTTGAGCATAAGTGTCTTAGATACAGAGACTGCAAGAGCCCCAAAATTAGTTATAGTCACCCTAAGTTTCCACAAATTACGAAACTGAGGTCCAGGAAGGGGCAGTGACCCTACCAAGATCTCCATTCAGTAATGCATTGAGATCTGCTGACCCGAACTCAGAACTCCTTCCGTTGAGCTAGGTTGACCTTGGCCAACAACCCAAAAATCCACCAGCACCCTAGATGTTGACTTATGCTAATAGAAACTTCTAAAGAGATAAGTAAGTCTTTGTGAACAAACTATATCACATAGTCCTTACCTTCACGCTATAAAATTTTTAAGATGAACACGCATTTAAAAAAATTAGATAAAGTAAAAAGTTTTCTTAAAACTTTCTGAGGGCAGGAAATACCTTTATCCTATTTGTTCTACTTTCCTAATACAATTAGCTCCTCATAGTGTATACTCAGCAAATACAGTATTGATTAGATGAACAAAACTCTATATTGAAATATAGACACATATATTATGTACTCTAAATGAGCAGAGAAAGAGAAAATTAGCCTGAATGTGGTCCTCCTTTAAAAAGTCTTCATGGAAGTTTTGAGAATTTAAACAGAGCCATAACTAATGTTGATAATTTAGAGAGGAATACCCAAGTTTCAAATCATTTATTTAGCTCACCTTCTATTAAGACTTTAGATACAGGTTCTCTGAGTTATTTGCTTTTGAATTATACCTCTACACATGATTTCATCAAATATATATGTTTATGAAAAAATATGATAAATATGCTAAGATACATGTATAAGGATATTAACTGTTGTGTTGTATATAAGAGCATTTAAAAATGGAACCAACCTAACTCTGATAGACTGATGTTTAGTACTTCAAAATTAAAATTACTGATAAATGTAGTTCTAAATTTTTCAGCATGCAAAGACTTCTCTAATATGTAATAGAGTAAAAATACCAAGCTGCAAAACTATAAATGTATAGAATAATCCCATTTTTGTAAAAAAAAAGTATGAAAATAAAAATAATGCAAAATAGGATAATGAACTTTTTATGTTCTTTTTAATGCTTTTCAGAATTTACAAAAAAATCTTACAATAAACATTTATTACTAATATTTATACATAATTTTATAAATTACACTTATTTAAAAAGTAAGCTTTCTTTCTGATTATAGGAAGAGTTCTAAATTTACTCTGCTGACTTACCCTAGGTATGAAAGCTGTTCACCAATGATTACTGATTCACTTTCCCTGAGCACCTATCATGACCAGGAACTATGAGCAAGAGTCAAAGTCTATTTTGTAAGCTCCCTGTGACTTCAAAGGGAGATGAGAATCACAAATTGAGCACCAGAAATCTATTTCCTTCAGACTTGTCCCTTCAGTTTGGTCCTTTTGTTTTATGGAGATTTATTTTAAAATGAAACTGATCTGTATATTCTGATAGTACAATGTCTACACAATGAACAAAATTGCACTTGCCTAATTTTTTCCATGTCTGATTTTTTTTTTTTTTGAGTTGGTGTCTCACTCTGTCGCCCAGGCTGAAGTGCTGAGGCATGCTCACAGCCACCACAGCCTCAACCTGCTGGGTTCGGTGATCCTTCTGCCTCAGCCTTCCAAGTAACTGGAGCTACAGGCACATGCCACCATGCCTAGCTAATTTTTTTTTTTTTTTTTTAGTATAGAGATGAGCTCTCGTCAAGTTGCCCAGGCTAGTCTTGAACCCCTGGGCTCAGGCAGTCCTCTCACCTTGGACTCCCAAAGTGCTGGGATTATAGGCATGAGCCACTGCACCTGGCCAAATGTCTGATTTTTTAATTGCAATGATTCAGTTAACTCTTTTGTCTAGGAGGAATAAAAGCAACTCTAAGACATTTAGAACCAGAGAGCAATGTTTAATGTGTTTTGAGTTGACATTGAAAACTTATACTTGTAATAATTATACTTTTATTACATAATGTATCATTTTCTCTTTCTATGGGATCTATTTTTAGCTATTTGATTACGTGTTACCATAATTATGTCTGTATTTATTGTTAATTTTAACATTGCAGTTCCCAGAGGGTAGACTTGTCATCTTGACAATGCATTAACGCCTAAACCTTGGCATTCCTGCATGGTAATATTGTCTGAACTTGGCTTCCTCAGAAACCAAGAAAGAACACATCCCAGATCTAGTAGCAGCCAGCCTTGGTTAATTGTGTGCAGTCAAGAGGCCAAGGAGGACCCTGTGGTGGATTCATTTCTAATAATCTGAAAAAAAAGTGTGGATGTAGACTTTCTAATACTCATCACCTAAACCTACTTGATATTTTGGGGGTTTGTGAGCTATTTTTGCTATTAGCAGAAACTCTCACGTAGTTTATACACTATTCACAGGCAATGATAATAGTTTCCAAATGTCTTATAGAAATTTGCAAGCATTTTCATTTACATCAACATATTTAGTCTTTAGACTACCTCTGAGGCAGATATTATGACTTCAGTTTTACAGGTGAGAAAACAAAAGTATAATTGGATTACACGACTTGCCTACAGTCACATATCTCATAAGAAGTAGACCTGGCTACAAAACTGTGTCCTGACTCCTGGCCCCATGTTCTTCTAGCCATCCCATACTGCTATGACTCCTCCCCTGCCTCTGAAGTTGGAAATATGGGAGTACTACTGAGTATGACTGGGTTGACTCAACCTTATTATGATTGCCACCTCTAATTGTTAGTAGTAAACATCTTTTGTTTTGATTCCATGAAGAACCACTGGCAAGGTTCATACAAGGATCTTGACACACTCCCAAGCTCCACTTCTGATGAGCTCTGTTAACCCCCAGCTCACTCTTTCTATGACTGGTGGACAGTAGTCACACAGAGAAGAAGTCTGTTGTCCTAGGACTCCAAAGAGAAGTTTACACAAACATGGAGGTCAATTGATTGATGCAGTCGCTGCAGTGCTGAATCTGAATAAAATATACTTTACTGAGAGAAGATGTATAGATTTTGTAAATGAATATGGACCACATTTCATCAGCAGCTGCTATAAATGTGAAGAGTCCTTATTAGTCAGATACACACAATCATCTGACCACTAACATCAAGTTGTGTGATCAGAGCTTTCTGCTATAAGAGATTAAAATGCATGTTAATAGATAGAATTTAAAGAAGTCAGGGGAAATGTACGTTGTGATGAAATCATCAAAGGAATGACTGCAAAACCTCCTCTCTTGGCATAAAAGTCATTATAGCACAGAGGACAGCACATTTTATTTCTTGACCGTGATTATGAGTATTGTTGTAGGCCCTTGAATTTTCATTAGCTCAGAATAAAGGCAGATTAATTCTAAAGCAGTTACAGTAATCAAATCCATTCACCTCCTTCCTTATGGTGAACAGCATAGGGAAGGGAAGTAAGTCTCTAAACCAATTCTGAAGCAGGATTTAACTGTCATTTTACTTGTGCATCTCTTCTTTAACTCTATAATGGAAATTTTAAAAAATAAAATCATCTTGATTTTATGTTAACTCTAGGCTTGACTCTTCACCACCTGAGACATTGAAAGAGGAGCGCATCTCGGCTGAAGACATGTCTTTAGAAATGCTAAGAAACAGCAACCCAGAAGACCTCTTTGATGAGATTTAACAGTCTTAAAAAGTATTTTGATGTTTGCTAGTCTGTGTTTTCTATTTATATCTTAAAAATGAAAAAAATAAAATTTCAACTCAACTGCAGCTATTACTGCACCTCACAGTTTAATTGCATGTACCTGAAGAGTTGAAGCCATTGTGCAAAATGGATTGGATTATACTTGCTTATGAAGATGTGATTTGATGGTGGTGGTACCTTATTCTAAACCATCCATTCAGCATGCCTATAATTACAGAAAATTTCAGACTTTTTGTTGCAAAGGACACATTTATCCTGTTCATTCACACATTATGTGGTAGCTATATAACATTTTGTCCAGGAAGATTTGGGGAAAAGCACAAAGAAAACATCTTTTTTAAACATCTGCAGTTCTTTTTGAATAGTCATTTTCTGAACAATGATGTTTGAGCATTTTACTCGGTGGCATGTTATATAAAATCTGAAAAATAAAATTTTTGATATATTGGAGATTCTGTGTTCTTAATGAATGTGTTGTTTAGTTTAACTTTTTCTTTTACTGCAGTAACAGTTCTTTAGAAAGAGTTTATTAATGTAAATGTAACCCCCTTTTGTGCCAAAAGAAAAGTATGTCTTTCAGGGATTGTTGGTAAAAGATGTATCTTATGCATGGAAGAGCCCTCCTCAAAGACAAGGACCTTATTGTGTTCACTTGTCTATCTCCAATAACATCTGGCACTAATTTTTTTAATATTCACTGTTTCTACTTCCCAGCGTCTCATACTGTCTTCACTTCCTGCCATCGTAGCATCCATTCCTTTCACACTACTCAGAGTTAGCAACATCGAAGCTAACAGTGACTGCCATGTTGGTACAGTGTTTGGTCCATTCTCAGTCCTCATTGAACCCCCTCTGCACATTGAACGTAACCAGTCACCCCTCCTCAGAACTCATGGCCTCGCCTGGCTTCTGCAATCACAAATGCTCTTTGGATTCCTTTTTCTTTCTACTAACTAATTTCTAAGTCTTATTAGTTCCTTCTCCTTCACCCATCAGTTGTGTTTGCATGTCCTGAGTGCAGTCTTAACCACTTACATTGTCACCCAAGATCACCAGGTTGTCTGTGACTTTAAATACCATCTATGTGCTGATACCTCCAAAATGAGCATAGTTCTTAGTTCTCTCTCTAGAGTCAAATTATGTATTTATGTAGGTGTGTAAATACTTTATCATTAATTTATCACAAAAGGAGTTTCTTAAGCTTTCTGAAAAACGATTTCTTTGTATTAAGTCTTGATACATCTTGGGATCTTTTGTCAAATACAGATAGCTACATTCATCTGCTTATGCCATTCTTTGGATATCATCCAAAGCAGAAGTTTGAGTGTCTCAACCACCATGTCTTCCCCAGCCCTCCCCACTCAGAAAGTTTTACTACCACCTTCCCAGGTGCTTCAGGCCAACACTTGGGAACTCTCCTTGGGGCCTCCACTTCCCTCTCTTCATGCATCCTTTGACTTTTACCTCCATGATATAAACTAACTGTGTCCACCACTCTCTCTACTACCACTGCCCTGACTGTCCCTGCTGAGTCTTCTGTGCCCTAAAATCTAGCCAGATTGAGCTTTTAATCTTAGGCCATTTCCCTGCCTGGATCAAAACCCTCCACTAGTAACTCATTGCCCTTTGAATAAAATCGACCCCTTACCACAGCTTGCAAGATCTGGCATGATCTGATCCTTCCCCCCTCCCCGGCCGGACTTCCCCCTCCCTCCTCTGTACTCTTGAGCCTGCTGACCCCAAGGTAGCAGATCTCAGGACCTTGCACTGCAGATCCCTCTGCCTGGACTATGCATCTCCACAGGGGTGGTTTCTTCTCATCTGTCAGATCTAGAGCCAAATGTCACCTTCTTGGGGTTGTAAAAGTAAGCCCCATCCCAGAAGTGACATGGCCATCTGCTTATCCCTCCATGCCCCTTACCTACAACAGGGCTGGATCCATAGAAGCTTGTTAAGTGTTGAGTGAATACATGTTTGTTGAGTGAATATATGCATGTCTGTCACATTGTAGAAATTCAGATGTTAGTTTTATTAAGTTTACACAACCATTTTGAAAAGAAACTCATTGAAAGATTGAAAGTTAGCAGAATGGATACAAAGAAAAAATTATTCAGAAAGCTCAAGTACTCTGTGTGATTAATTATAAATGATATATACACATGCACACAGGTGTAACTAGAAAGAGAACCAGAGAGAAATTACATACTTACACACTACTGGTTATATCAGGAATAGAATTTGACTAAGCAAGATATTTTAAATCAAAGTTTTTCCACATTTTAATTTATTTGATGGCTTACATTAAGAGTAAAAAATTTTAATTTAAATATAATTATATGACATTTAAATATATAATTATAAAATATACAATTTTACTCAGTTACATTAAAACTTCATTATAATATTAAACTTGGTATTATCCAAGATTTAACTTGGATCTTTCCAAAGGGGATTTTGTACATGAAAGACTAAAATCTCAAAATAATATTATCTCATCTGAATAGACCACAAATGACTAATCGAAGTCAGTATACAACCCTGTGTGTGTGTGTGTGCACACATGTGTGGTGAAAGAAAAGAAGATGAAAACAGAATTTTGACTATTAACTCACTAGTGGCGAGAGAGGGATGTAAGGAAAGTATTTCCTAAGTAATCATAACAATTGAGTATGTGAAGTTCATAATATTTAGAAAATTTTGTTTATGTTTTTCTAGGGCAGCAGATCTTGTCAACCTTTGTTGTGTGTCAGATCGGTTTAGTCAGTTAGAACAGAGTGTAATAAAATATAACCCTGTGTTTCTCCTTTATGTCTAGCATGGAGAAATTGAAGACATGGTTTTCTATGTCTTGCCCTATATAGATAGAGATCTATGGATTTGGTGTCATGCTATCCAGGTCCTGTCATCTGTGCCATGTTTTTCTGCAAATTTCTCCACTGTCTACATTATAAACAGATTATTTCAGCCTTCTGAAATGAAAGGCACAAAACTTGAGTTCTAATGCAGCATGGCTGTTTTGACTTTATCGTCCTCACCTTTAAGGAGATTATATTTCTGAAGGGTTTTCCAGCTTACAATTTTAACTTCTTGGCATCAGATGGAATGTTCAGGCCTCATTAGGGAAGTTCATGAGAGAAAAAGTTCCTACTCAGGAAGAGATGTCTTTATTATGTGGTTTTAAAAGGTCAGGAAACTACTTTAGAGAAATTTTTCTTAGTGGCTTGAAACTCACATTTGTAAAATACAGATCCCTGAGTTTTTGAGCCAAGCAGCTCTTTATTGGGTACGTTTGATTCAACAAATGTTTATTAGGAATCCGCTATGCACAAAATACAGAACCCAGCATGTAGAGGATAAACCTATTCAATCAACAAAGACTTGTTAAGTATGTGTGCCAGTCTCTGTTCCGAGCACTAGATGTGGCAGTGAGTTACACAGGCAAGTGTCCCGAGCTCCTGTTCCAGTAAACAAGAAGAATGGGGCATGTGGAGCATTGACTTGGGGCCTAGAGCCACTGTGTAAGGTACTGTAATATCAAGAAGCAGTAGGATAAATGGTGTAAAAACCAAAATTCAAAGGTACAGGTAAAACTCCATAGAAGATAAAAGATCCTGCTGGGAGACAAAAAGAAGTAGGGTGTGGTGGAGAGTGAGCAGTAGATGAGGCTGTCCACCCAGGATCAGATGGGAGGGCAGAAGGTACTGGGGGAGCACAGCGTTCATGCCAGCATGTGTCATTGTGAATCCAGCATGAAGGAGACAGGTGGCGAGGGGTCCCAGAGCAAGGCTGGCCAGGAGTGTTGAGGAGTGGACAGGAGCTGAGTCACCGAATGAGCACATGACAAGGTGGGACGAAGGCAGGAGCTCTGCAGCTCTCCTGGACACTTCTTGGGAGGGTAGGGCTGCTGGGAAATTCCAGGTCCTAGGTCCTTCCTGGGTGTCTGGGAATGGGGCAGGAAGGCTGGGCAAGGGCCTCTCCGCAGATTAGCCCAGAAGATCAGCCAACCCACTTCCATTAATGTCTGTCATTCTTGAGCTTAGTATTGTTTGTAGAATCCATTTTTAGTAAAATAAAATTTAATAGCTAACATATAATTCACGAAGGGCCTCATGAATTTGCCTATAAGTCAGGAAATCTGAAAAATAGATAGTAACATTGTATACTCACTCCAAGGATTTTGTAAGGGACACTGATATCCTCGCAAAAGATATATTCATGAATCCATTTGTAGCTATTGTCTGAATTTAAGATTATCCTTGGTGATCTGACATCTTCTAACAGTGCTTTTCAGGAGGACAGATTTCATTGCAAATGTTCTGTGAGCTAACCTGAAATGATTTTGTCTGTATCTTCAACCATAACTGGAAAGGATACCTTGAAATATACACCACAGCAAGCATGTTGTGGCTGCTTCATTAATTGACTATTCACCACCTCTCTGGACACCCTGCTGTTAGATCCACTCAACCTCAAGCATTCCCCAGGCTAGCTACCCTAACCTCAGTTTCTCCTTTGCATATATCCACATGTCCTCTCATTTAACCATTTGTGTCCTCTCTTTCTGATTTTCCTCTATCCGAATAAAATTCAGCATGAATTCTATTGTTTATATGTTGATTTTTCTTCCCTCTGTCAGAGGCCCTTCATCCAATCTCTCCTCTCACAATCTCAGAACAATGAACTTTCTAAATGAGGGTCCCAAATGCCTCTAAAGGCTCTTTATTCTACAGGAAAGGAGAGACAGACTAGAGCCCTGCACCCATCTGGATAGCGGGTGTTCCTAGGAAGGGCAGGAACAATTTTGGTGGCCACTGTTCCAGTAAATGGAATATAGACTAGTTCTGAACTATTCTCTCTTGATTTAAAGAAAATCTCCAGCTTAACTATCTTAGAAATAACACAGCCAAATAAATATGGGTGGATTAGACCTATATTTATATGAAACCTGCTCACACAAGACTCTCCCAGGAGTCTGTCTTGCCTTGCGTTCCTCTGAAGGCTGAGCTGAGACTAGGGCTTGTGTGGAGACAGTGTGCTCGGGAGGTAAATCCAGGGGCCAGGAGGGTGGAACGGGGATCTAGGACAGAAAAGGAGGAGAAGCCAGTGCAGGGATGCTGGATCAAGACACCCACCTATAGGTAACTTGTGCTTCACCCCCCAGGATCTCCTGAGAAAACTCTGTGTGCAGAATGAAAAAAAGCATTGATCTACTTGTTGTTTCCCGTTGGCCAGCAGTGGACTGGCAGCCTGGCTCCTGTACTGCAAGTGGCCCTGTGTGAACACACAGCAGGTCCTGCAGGGGGTCCACGCTGCCATCTCAGAGGAGGCTTAGCGCTGGACACAGGAGGAGAGCAGGTGCTGACTACACCTGCATGAAGTCGGGCAGAGTCCATCTGGAACTGACCACCCAGAAGCAGCAGCTATTGCAACAGGGCCCTGAGGATCTCAAG